GAGCTTGGAGCTCGCCCTGCAGCCGCAGCTCGCCGCAGCGGCGAGCTCTGACTTGTTCGCCGCAGCTGCGCACGCCGTTTCGCGAGAGTGCTTGCGCTTTCTCACGGGCGCGCTGAATAAAAGCGCGGGCGCCGGCGGCTCGCAGCCGCCCACCAGAAAAACGAACTCTGACTCGTGCCATGCGCTGGCGCAAAGTGCGGCGCGCGCGCTCTATCGCGCGCTGCGCCGCGTGTTTCTGCAAAATAGGTTCTTCCTCAGCGCGCCGCGTGCCGACTACAAGTGCGAGCTGCGCTCTGCGCTGAGCGCCGCGCCAGAGACGCCCTAGAACAGCGTTATCAGGGAAAAAGCGAGATAGAACAGAAAGAGCGGGTACCAGATGAGCAACCGCTGGTTTTGCAGAGCGCACAGGTCGCAGTACATCTTCGCGCCGATCAGGCTGCACCAGCCAACGACGGCCGCAACGAGCGCGTAGTCCAGCGGGTTCTCAAAGTTGCGGAACACGTGCACAGCGGCGAGCAAAATCATCGGCAGCAGCCCGTAGCCAAGCGTGCTCAGCGTCTGGTAGATTGAGACTCTGACTGTCACGGAGAACAAATTGAGAATGCAGCACATGCAGATCGTGCCAAAACTCATCAGCGCGTAGATCATGCCGAACTGGATCTTGCCGGCGAGCAGCAGCAAGCTGCTGACCGCGACGACGATCGCGATGGGCGCAGTCATGTCGAGGTTTTCGAGGCGCGTCTTTTCGAGGCTGCGAAGCAGCACGACGCGCACCACGTTCGAGAGCAGCTGCAGCGGATAAATTCCAAGCTCCTGCAGTAGCGGCAAGTCGTCTTCCTCTGTGTCTTCCGCGCCGGGAGCCATGGGCGTGGCCGTCGGCGCGGCCGCGAACTCTCTGGGACTCGGCGTTGCGAAGTCGGGCTGCGGGATCTGCCAACCCACTTCCGGCTGCGCCGGCTTCTGTGGATCAAATGCGCGCGAAGGCGGCTGCGTCCGCGGAGGCGCGCCGCCCGAGTGCAGCCACTGCGCGTCGGCGCTGCCGCGGTCCGCGACGGAGCCGAAGCTGCGGCTACCGTGCCCACTGCCGCTTTGCGCAAAGGGGCGGCTCGCTTCGCGGCGCGGCGCGCGGTCCTGTCCGGCAGGTTCGCTGCCGCTCGCTGCGCCCGGCGGAGCGAACGGAGCGTTGGCCGCGAAGCGCGTGGCCCCGCGCTGCGGAGCCGCCCACAGCGCCGCGCCGCGGCCAGCTTCCGCGCCAGCGGAGCCAAACTCTTGCAGCTCGCCGTACGTCGACAGCGGCGCTGACTGAGGCGCGTGTTGAGGCGCGTACTGCTGCGGTTGTTGAGGCGCGTACGGCTGCGGTTGATGAGGCGCGTTCTGCCCTCCGTATTGTGCGCCATACGACGCTCCGTATTCCTGCGCGTGCTGAGCTTGCTGTGGCGGGTTCGCCGCGTACTGCGGCGCATGTTGCGCTCCGTACTGTCCTCCGTACTGCGCGCCGTACGGCGCTCCATATTGCTGCGCGTGCTGCTGCGCGTGCTGCGCGTGCTGCGTCGAGAACTGAGACGCGTACTGCGACTGCTGTGCGCCGTATTGCGCCGCGTACTGCTGCCGCGCGCTCTGCGCTGAGCGCTGCGCAACGAACTGTGCGTCGAACTGCACATCTAACTGAGCCGTTTCACTCTCGCGCCCGCCGGCGTCGTCCGCGCGCGCGGATAACGCCCACCGCGGTTTCTGCAAGCCAGATCGCGGCGCCGGCGCGAGCGCCGAAGCGTCGACGCGTCCGCGCCGGTTCGTCAACCCCGTGTCACAATTCATGCGCTGCAGCGCTCCTGCGGCAGAGCTTCTTGCCGAAGACCTGCTGGCATTTTCGCAAGATGATTGCAGCGCAGTAATTGAATTTTCCGCGGAAAAAACTTATCCTTCTGTTGCCGCAGCTCGACCAACGCAGCCGAGACTGTGCGCTGATGACGCCGCACGACGCAGAAGCGCTGCGCGCGGCGAGCGCGTCCGACTCCGACAGTCCTCTCACGGCCTCCGCGCTCGCCGAGCCCGCGCCGGCGGCGTCTGCGGTTGCTGAAGCGGAGCCCGCGGATCCGCAGTTGTTTAGCGAACTGAAAATCTGCGACGAACTCAAACAGCTCGCCAAGCGCCGCAACTGGACCGCACTGACCCCGATTCAGGCGAAGGCGATCCCGCTCGCGCTGCAGGGCCGCGACGTGATCGGGCTCGCCGCGACTGGCTCCGGCAAGACCGCTGCGTTCTTGATCCCGATCGTGCAGCACATGAAGCAACACGGCGCGAAACCGCTCTCCGCTCTCGTGCTCAGCCCTCTTCGCGAGTTGTGCGTGCAGATCGCAGACGAAGCGCGGCTGCTCGGCGCTGTCGTGCAGATGCGTGTCGCGTTGGTAGTCGGCGGACTGCGCGAAACGGACCAGGTCGCTGCACTCGCGCGCGAGCCGCACTTGGTCGTCGCCACGCCCGGACGCATCCTGTACCACCTCGAGAAGACCAAAGGCTTTGCACTGCGCTCGCTGCATCATCTCGTTCTCGACGAAGCCGACAAACTGCTCTCGAATGACTTCGAGACCGCACTAAACGGCATTCTGAGCTGTCTGAACCAAAACCGGCAGACTTTCTTGTTTAGCGCAACGATGACTTCGAAAGTCAGCAAGCTGTTGCGCATGTCGCTGTCGAACCCGGTGAAAGTCTCGGTAGACGCAAAGACGCAGACCGCCGAAAACCTCGAGCAGCGCATCGTGCTCGTGCCGGTGGACAAAAAATTTGAATATCTCGCGGCGCTGCTGAAGCTGCGCAATGCTGCGCGTGCAATCGTCTTCTGCAACACGTGCAAAATCGCGAGCGTGCTGAGCTTCTTTCTGAGCGCGCTAGGCCTGAACGCGATCGCGATTTCCGGCGACCTAGAGCAGAAACTACGACTGCGCGCTCTCGCGAAGTTCGCGGGCCGCAAGGCTGATGTGCTCGTCGCGACAGAGGTCGGCGCGCGCGGACTCGACCTGCCCGAAGTTAATCTGGTGGTCAATTTCGACGTGCCCAACTCGTACCGCGACTACATCCATCGCGTGGGACGCACCGCGCGCGCGGGCAAAAGCGGGCTCGCCTTGACTTTCGTGACGAAGCTTGATGTCGTGCAGTACAAGCTAATCGAGGCGAAGCTGTTCGGCGAGGACGAGACGCGCTGGCCAGCCGTCGACGAATCCGTGGAGGCGCACTTCAAGCTGCTGAGCCCCACGACGAACTTTGGCGTTCTCAAGGGCAATGCAGAAAAGCAGTACCACGAAGTCAAGCACAAAATTCAGAAGAAGACGCGCCGCCGATAGTGCGACGAAACCGCGCAATTGCGTTTTCATAGTGTAGCAATGAAAGTTTTGCCGCTGCTGCTGGCCGCCGTGGCCAGCGCACTGGACCCTTCGTGTGAGTTCGCGACGGCTCTCCGCAGCCATCATTGATTCAATCATCACGAGCTTGATGAAAAAATTGCAGGAGGAGGACAAGGATGACGATGACGCAGATAAGCCCTCGCCGCACGAAATGATCGAGAACGACGAAGAACTTCGCAGTCTAAAGGCGCAGCTAAAGGACCAAGGCGCGCTAGACGCACTGAACGACAAGCTGGACGAAATCGCTGACGAACGCAAGGGCGCTTCGAGCGACGCCGGCGTCGCCGACAAGCTCGCGCGGCTTGAGCGGCAAAACGAGACACTGCTGCACGAGCTCAAAGACACGCAGGAGACGCTCAAGGGCCTCGAGCAGTTGCGCAAGACCGCGCTGCAGCAAATGGAAGAAAAAGAAAAGTCCGACGTGACTCGCGACGAAGAACTGGACATCCAGATCGTTTTCCCGACGCTCGATGCGGAGAAAGCGGCCGCCGCGGAAAAGAAGGAAAATGCGCTGCGCGAAGCCGCGGACGCGGAAAAGGCGAAATCTGCCACACAGGAAAAACCTGAGGTGCTCCCGCCTCCTATTTCCGTTTTTAGTTGGAAAGATCTTGCACACATGGATCCGCTCTCGTTCGCACGTGAAGCTGTAAGTTACGCTGCCTGGCACGCAGACTATTTTGCTCGCCTCCAGCCCTGATGACGAGTACGTGATGCTGCACAAGAACGCCGCCACGCTCTCGAAACGCGAGCGCTTGTTCAAACTCATCAGCTACTACAAGTCTTTCAAAATGCTCTTCGACTACGAGATGATCACGCTGGAATCCGAGCTCCGCTCGCGCGGGCTCGGCGCCGTCGCAGACGTCATCCATGACGCGGAGAATGTGCACCTTCGCACATTCATCCATTCGCTGTACGAGTCTGACCAGAATGCGCTCGTCGAGGAAGAGCAGAAGAAAGAGAAAAAAAAAGAGGCTGAGGCGCGCACCTCAACCACGCCGCCGCCGCAAACCGCCGCGAGCACGGAACCCGCCTCCACCGAACCATCGAAGTTATCGAAAGTGTTCGAACTCGGCAAACGCACGCTAAGCAACGACAAGTTCAGAGAAATGGTGCTGAATCGCCCAACTTAGGCGGCACTGGAAAAGAAGCTCAGAAAGTGCCGAAAGGCTACCTCGGCTATAAAGGCGACAGCTAGCGAGTGCGCGCCGCGCGAACATTCCGGCGCTCTAACGCTTTTTCCAATGCCATATCAAACACGAAAGAAACTTCTGCTGTCGCGTCGCTCTCCCCGCCTTTAAAGCCTGACTTCTTTAGCAGCTCGCGCTTCGAGCTGCGCCATTTCTTGTCCGCCAGCACGGTGCGCAGGTGTTCGCGCAGCGCGCTCACCATCACCTTTGTCTGCGTCAACGGGCACGTCACGTAACGGTCCGCGTCGACCTCCGCACTCGGCTGCTGCTGATAATTGCGCACGATGACGATCTCTTCGTCGTTGACTTGCACCCGCTCGACGTCCGGCCGTTGCTCCGACTCCGACTGTGGCTCCGCGGGCTCTTGCGTGAGCACGGCCTCGGCAGCTGTTGCTGCAGAGGCGCCGGGCGCGCCTTGCTTCGCGCGCAACTCATCCGCAAGAGGGCGCAGCGACGCGGATAACTTTTCTACCTGCTCCTCCGTGCCGTCCGCCATAAAGCTCAAAACGATCGGCGGCAAGTCTGCCTCCTCGTCTCGCGCAGTAAACCGCACCTCTGCGACGACTTCGAAGTCGTAGAACCGCGCATCGCTGGTCCCCTTCATCGTTGAGGCGACTAGCGCCGTCTCTTCCTGCTCTTTGCGCTTGCGCGCGTCCGTTTTCTCTTGCTCGAGCTTCAGCCGAGCCGCATATTGTCGCGTGGGGAGCTCTGCGACTTGCGCCAGCCACGGTTCCAGCATTAACGGCTCGAACATCAGCGATTTGTAAAGAGCGACGCACCGAAGAAACGCGTTGTTGTACTCGCTCTTCGGGTCCAGAAAGCAAAACTCGGTCAATGACCCGTACGTCTTCAACAGAAACGCGATAAACGGCATGCCAAACATCGCCAAGTATCGCGCGCACAAGTGTAGACACCGGTACATCAAGCTGCTGACCTCTCGCAGTTGCAGACAGAAGTCTAAGTCTGAGAAAACGAACTCCTTCTCCGCTTGTGAACCAGAGATCGCCTCCCACTCACTTTCGTAAAACAAGTTATCGCGCCCGTTGTTCAGCTGCTGCGTGCGGCTGAGCTGCGCTTCGCGCAACTCCTGGATTTCGTCCGGCACCGACAGCTTTACTTCGCCCTCGATGTTTTGTTTCAACGCCAGCACCTTTCGCAGCAAGTACTCGTGGTACGGGTGAGATTCTTCCAAATACGGAAAGCTCTCGAGCGTGTTCGTGCTCTCCACGAAATCCAGCACATACTCCAAGCTATGCTCTTTAATGAACTCCGCGGTCTTGTCTATGAGTTGCCGAAAGCTCGGCGGCGGAAGCACTACATCTTTGTAAAACGAGTCTACATCTTGCATCGACGAAGAGTGAATATCGCCATTTTATTCCTCGAATTTAAGGCCTTCCTGTGTGTATCAAATCTGCGATTTTTTTGAGTTTCATATCTTCAACAGCGCGATTGATTTGATCGCGCTCTGTTCTGCCCAATGCTCACCGCTAAAATATACCAAACTTTGTCTCCGATGGTCCAGATCCAAGACAGCGACAAAACGGTCGGCGGCCGCTTCGCAGCGCGCGCTGTGCGTTCCAGCCGCGGGCAGCTCAGCTTCAACACACCGCTGCTTGCAGAGAAATCACTTTGCGACGACATCAAACCTTTCAGTCAACGCTCTACGCAACGACGCGTGCCGAGCGTAAATCGGACGCCGCCCAGTTTGTGCGACGACCATGAAAAACCTAATGCGCAGGGAAACGAAAAATATATAGTTGATCACGGATCGCAACAATGTAACAAGCGCGCGCACATGGTCACGAACGGCATCACACTTGCTGTTTTTCGAGCAAAAGCGCGCAGCGTTTTTCACCACGGCGCGTTTACTTGGCGCAGCGCGCGCCGCATGTCGTCAGAACCAAAACCGCTACAACGCCTCTCGTCGCTAGATTCTTTTCACCGGCTGAAACTCGCCGCGCATCTTACGAAGTTCTACAATATAAGAAATCACGTAACTGGCATTAGCGTTCTCGCATATAGGGTTCGAAGCCAACACGCGCACGGTGACCGGCAGCGCGGCGTCAAACAGTGTGACACACAAACCAACTATTCAACAGAAGCGTGCAGCGTTTCTGTCGCCGACTTCGCCGGGCACCTAGCTCACAACACAAACGGCATGCCAGACTGCGCGGAACAGCAAATCAGATCGAGAAGTGTGACGCAACAAACCGATGAAACAGTTGCAGGCGCCTATACGTCGCTCGACAAATCCAGTGGCGAAGTGTGTAATTTAGCTACTGTTTCGTCCCACGTGGACCTTTGCTCGGCTACCGCAAACACCTTTCACTCCACTCTGGGCGACAGTTTGTTAGGCGAAGATGACGGAGTCTTCTTCTCGGCGTCCGACTACGAGGACGATCTATCTAAACTCAGCTGCATACTGAGCCAAAGCGGTTACCGCGTCGACTCGCTGGAAGCAACGCAGACTTCGGAGACCGAACTCGGAAATTATTGCGCTGAAGAAGAATGTCCCAGTTTGACGATAAAAGAAAACGAAAAAGTCTCAGATCCATTCATGAACAGCGCACCGGTAACCGCTTTCGACCTCGAAAATGATTCGGAAGCACAGAGCCTGAAGGTGTGCGCTTCTCGCGTGCCGCGTCTGTCAGCCAACGGATTTTTGCTCATGGCAGACCGCGGCGGCGTGAAGAGCTTTGCCGAGTATGTCAGCGAAAAAGAGAACTTGCACTCGGACGCCGTGGACTACCCGGACTTTGCGCTAGAACAGCAGGCGACCTCCCAAAGCAACTCCGGTGCAAAGCACACCGGCCATCGAACGCAGCTGCACGGCTGCAAAACCGGTCTCGATGCCTCGCTGGCAACCAGTTCAAATCAAACCCTCCAGGAACCTGAGCAGTGCGTTGCACTGTTGCACGTCGATACTGAAAGCAACACATGCTGCACTAACCGCTTTAACCCAGAATCCAATAATAACGAAGTCGAAACGATAACGATCAAAGCTTTCGAGCCTTCCTCCTTCATCTCGTACGCTTCTGACAAGAAACTCACTATTGACGAAAGCGACTTGTTGCAGGACGCGCATACTAAAACTGTTGCGATTGTGCAAACTGCGTCGTCTGCCAACGCAGCGCAGTTTGCACAATCGCAATGCAAGGTCACCACGGAGAGCTGCAGTGATTCAGACACGGTAGCAACGCTGAATACGCGCATCCCGGAAAAGCACAAATTAAACTGGACGATCAACGACTTCACGACTTTTAGGTACGCGGCTAAACGCACCGCGCTCCCACCGTTGCGCTCCTCACCCATCGGCATCGCAGGTATAATATTGCTGGTTTACCCTGCCATGAAAAACCACGTCGTTTGCGAGATCTACTTTCCAAAGTCTCTAGCGCTGCTGAACGCGTCGATCACCTACCAGATCTCAGTGCTCGACGCGGAGGAAAAATCAATCGCCGAGTGGAAAAGCGTCATTCAGACTGGCGGGCAGCGGATTCCGAACAGCCAGTTATTCATCCGGCTCTCTCGCCGCAACTGGCTGGGGCGCATCGACTATGACTATTTGCTGCGGGAAAAGAAGCTGCGCCTAGCTGCAAAGTTCGAGATCATGTATCACGGCTCATTCGCCTTCACCGGCTTCGAGTCTACGACGAAAAGCCTGGTCAGCGATTCTGCAGTTTTGACAGAGTTAAACGCGTACAGCATGAACCGGCCCGAGGACGTGGTCAAAATTAAATTGGGAAACCGTGAAATCAGCGCTATCCGCTACTTAGTTGGCGCGCGAGCGAAAGCACTGCGTCCTGCGCTCGAGCGCGGAGACGAGCTAATCGAAATTAGCGACGTCACGCCTGAGAGTGCGCAGGAGATGCTGGAGTTTATTCATACGGACAGCTGCGAGACGTTCCGCGACAGCGCTGAAAACGATAGGCAGTTGCTGGAGCTGCTGAACACCGCCTTTATATTCGAAGTCGAATGTTTGTTTAACGCAGTTTGCGAACGCCTCATCAACAAGTTGACAGTGGAGAACGTGCTGAAGTACCGCGATGCCGCAATCTCGTGCTCCAGCGACAACAAGCTGGCGGTGGCGTGCAGCAAATTTTTAGACAAGTTATCTGGCAGTCTGGTTGCCGAAATGATGCGGCTGCATCAAAATGCAGCGAGATAAAGTATTAATTCAAATAGCTGGGAAATATGTAGCTGCGAAAATGTCGAAGCGCGCAGTGCAACTGAAGACAGTCGGCAAGCGAAAGCTTGCCGTGGGCCGAAAACAGCACAGTGGTGCGGAGAAGAGCGCATTCCACGGAAGGAGCGAATCGACGCGGCGCATTCTCAAGATGTATCAGGACAAGGGCCACTTAAAGACAACGGCCGACGATCCGACCGGCGCCGTGCGCATCGAGCCGAGCAGAAAGTGGTTCGGCAATACGCGCGTGACGACGCACGCCGAGCTGCACAGCTTCCGCGAGACACTTGCTGAGACTAAGCACGACCCCATGTCGGTTCTGTTGAAACGGACGAAGATTCCGATGTCGCTCCTGGGTCAGGACGAGCCCGGCGCGCAGCCCAAACACGGCCGGAAGTTGGACTTTGCAGCTGCGTTTAAGGACGACCAGAGCCACAAGACCTCGAACGTGGAGTTCGAAAGCCTGAACGAGCTTGTGAGCCACGCGCAGAGTGCGGCGGAGACCTATGAGACTGCGGCTGAGCAAGACCGCGACAGCGAGGCTCTGCGCAAACAGCAGGCGGACGGCCCCGTCGCGGGCCCGCAAACTATCATGTCGAAGGGCACTTCTAAGCGGATTTGGGGCGAGTTGTACAAGGTGATCGACAGCAGCGACATTTTGTTGCAGGTGCTCGACGTGCGCGACCCGCTGGGCACGCGCTGCTACTTTCTCGAGAAATTCGTAGCGAAGGAAAAGCCGTTCAAGCACGTCGTTTTGGTGCTGAACAAGTGCGACTTGGTGCCGAAGTGGGTGACGCTGCGGTGGGTCTCGTTGTTGTCGAAGGAGTATCCGACGGTGGCGTTCCGCTCCTCACTTCACCGGCCGTTTGGCAAAAAGTCGCTGATTGGTCTGCTGCGGCAGTTCGCGGACGGGCTGAAGAATCGCAAGAACGTGACCGTGGGGCTGGTCGGCTACCCGAACGTCGGCAAGAGCAGCGTGATCAACACGCTGCGCGGCAAAAAGGTGTGCAACGTCGCGCCGATTCCGGGCGAGACGAAGGTGTGGCAGTACGTCGACCTTACCAAGAGGCTGTACCTGTTGGACTGCCCAGGGGTGGTGAAAGAAGTGGGCGAGGGCGACGCAGACGTGGCGAAGGTCGTCAAGGGCGTGGTGCGCGCGGAAAAGTTGGCGGACCCGTGTGAGTACATCGACGCGATAATCAAGCTTGTGGGCGTCGAGAAGTTTCTGCAGCACTACAAGCTGCCGGCGGCTTTGGCGGGCTACGCGGACGCGTTGGAGGTGTTGGAGGCGTTGGCGCAGAAGCTCGGGCTGCTTGGCAAAGGCGGCGAGCCGCTCTCGGCGCAAGCCGCGGTGCGCGTGATATTCGACTTGCAGCGCGCAAAGCTGCCTTACTTTTGCGCGCCGCCTGCGGAGTCGGCGGAGGACGTCGCGGCGGCGCTGCAGGCGAGGCAGTTACAGGAGATAGCGGCCGCGTCGAAGGCGTAACTACATGGCTTCGAACAAGTTGCTGATGGGAAAGTTGCGCACGGCGCCGGCGGCGGAGCAGGCATACACGGAAAGGTTGTCGAACCCCCAACTGATATTCGCGCAGCGCGGCGCGACGTGCAGCATAGTTTTTTGTATCTTGAGGCCTTCGGGAGCGAACGCCCAGACGGTGATGGTGCCGGCGTCCGAGAGCGAAGCGACGTTGCTGCGGTTGTGCGAGACGGCGAGAGCGACGAGACGGCTCTTGTGTTTCGAGGTTTGCTGGCGAAGCGCGAGCCGGCCGTCTGGGCCGACGCTCCACAGCATCAGCGCGCCGTCCGCGCCGCAGGAAAGCAGAAAGCCGGCTTCGAGGTCAGCGGCGCCGTCAGCGCTGAACAGCGAAACGCCGACCAGGTGCTGCAGCGCGTCGACGCGGCCGACGTGCGCGACGTAGCTCGTCTGCTGCCACTCGTGGTCTGCGCAGAGGCTGAAGACGTGTAGCGAGCCATCGGTGCAGCCCGCGACGAGGTGCAGGCCGACGCGCGGCGCGCCCGCAGCGTCGTCAGGGGTGGTTTCGCCGCAGCTCTGGCGGAAGAAGTGCAGACAGGAGACCGCGGTGGGCAGCGTCGCGCTGCGGAAGAGTTCGTGCCACTGCGTGGGGCCGAACGCGCGGAAGACGCTGACGACGCCGTCAAATCCGCCTGCAGCAAGCACACAGCCGAACTCCTGCGGAGCGAAGTCTAGCGCAGTCACCGCGCCGCCGAAGGGCGCAAGCTGCGCGAGCTGCGTTTGATCAAAGTTGTTGGTGAGGTTGATTTTGCCATCAACGCGGCCCAGCGCCTGTACGCGCAAAAAGCTCGCAGCCGCAAAAGACACGCAGCTGCAGAACTGCGCGGCGACGCCAGATTCGGAATCCATCAGAGCCAGATTAACGCTAGGAAAATTGATTAAATCTCGGCTAATTGTAATTGGCGCAGCGCGGCAAGCCGCTCAACACCGAACGCCAGCGCGCCGAGCTTCACGCCGGCAAGCGGCGCACGTCGCACAAGTGCCGTCGCGACCGCACAAGCTGCCGGAAGCGCGCGACGCAGCTGGCGCGCAGTGTGCGAGCCGCCGCGTTCAGCCTCCCACTGCACGAGCAGTGAGGCGCCCACGCCGACCGCCGCGCCTGCGCCAAGCCCGCGGCGCCAACTGCGCGCGGCGGCGTCGACCAGCCGCGTCGCGCAGTGGTCCGACGCGCGCTTCGTCGCGAGCGCGTACGCTACGTTCAGCACTCCGCCGGCTGCGCAGCCGAGCCCAGCCGTCTGTGCCACCGCAGCAAACGGTTGTTGCGAGGCAGCGAGCCTGGGAAACAGGCGCACGCACGCTTTCTCCGTGAAGCTTTGAGTGAACACGAGCAAAAAATCGCAAGAAATTCAGCCTATGAAACGAAAATTATGCACTCAGCGAGCGGTCGAGCAGCGGCGCTCACGCGGCGGCTTGCATGCCGGGAAGAAGCTTCGCTGCGCCCGCCAAGCCCGTGACCAGCTCCCCGACAATTTCGTGCGGGTAGGTTTCGAGAGCCTGAATCGCGCCGACTGTGTTTTTCACGAGGTTAGAAAATACATCTCCAACTAGATTCTTTTTCGCGGCAAGAATGCCTTGGGCGTCAGCCACGACAGTGCGCGCGTGCGCAGTGCGAAGGTCGTCGCGGTCACTGCCGCCTGGTACGACCGGCGCACTCAGAGGGACAGCGCGATCGTGCGCATCGGGGTGAGCTGCGTGTACGAACTCTTCACCGTCTTCCTTGAATAGTTTGTAAACGACGTCACGGTACAGGGGGTCGTCAATTAATTTGAGCAGCACGTCGCCTTGGGGCTGCGCGTCTAAAAACGAGGTCGAATCTGCAATGTAGTTGACTTCGGTGGGCAGCGCTTCAGCGTATGAAGTCCCCGGTAAAGTCAGCGAATTTTCGTAGTAACTCTGGTGCTCAAAACCGGGATCCACCGCCAAGCCCGCGTCGTTATTACCTACTATTTGTTTTTCCACAACCGCCGAGCGGACGGGCTGAACGAATTCAGCGGTCCTCAGCGGAGCTTCAAGGGCGTAGCTGGGCTGGAACGCCGGGCTTCGGATGCCGACCGTCGCGGGACGCACAAGAGAGGCAGTGTCGAACGAGTCGAACGTGGTGTACGCAGGGCGGATCATGTTCACCGTCGGGCGCAAGATTTCGGTCTGGTGGACCGTGTTCGCGACCGGGCGCACGACATCAGTCAAGCGGACCGCGTTCACCGTCGGGTGCAGGACTTCAGTCGAGTGGACCATGTTCACCATCGGGCGCACGACATCAGTCTGGGTAGACACGCCGAAAGCGGGGTCAACAAGGCCAACCGCGGGGCGGACGATCTCGACAGAAGGCGCGACCTTGCGGTAAGTGCGGTAGACCTCGGCAGGGCGCGCAACCTCTTCGACCATCGCGGGGGCTAAGTTAGTGACCTTGACACCAGCGGTCTTGGACACGCCGTCGTTGCGAACCGTGCGCGACATGACAGTGCGGTCGTTGATGATCTGCGAGTCTTCACGGACCATCGGGCCGACAGTCACGGTGTTCACCGTCTCCTTGGCGACCGCAGGCGTCGCAATGCGGCGGACCGGCTCAGCGCGAACGACCTCGACCGGGCGCGCGACGTCATACGAGCGCACAACCGTCGGACGAATGGTTTCGACCGGCTTGAACTGCGTCTCGTAGCCGAACTTCTTCATGACGGGAGAGAAAACCGCCGCGACGCTCGGGTAGCGCTCGTTCAAGTTGCTGTAAGTGCGACCCAAAACGCCGTTGTGGTACTCACTCGTGATGGTGCCGACCGTCGGAACAACTTCGTTGTTGCCGCGGGTGATCAGCGGGTTGTTGATGTTGATCGTCTCGTTCAGCTGTTCAACCAGGTTGCCGTGAACGTAAGCGCTCGCGTGCTTCGACTCGTCGTTGCTTATGATCGCCATGTTCTTCTCCTCGTTGCTGAAAACCGTCGGCGTGACCGGTACGACAGGCTCCTCAGCGGTGGCGTACGGGTAGTCGACCACATCGCGAACGTACTCGACCGGCTCATCATAAGTGGTCACATAGGAAGCGTTCGGAAGAACGTCTCTTGCGATGAGGCTTGCGCGATGAGAGCAGTCTCCGTCGACGCAGCCGGCCGCGTCGTAGTTGCTCTGGTTGATGAACTTCTGCTCATTCAAGTCCTTGGGGCTGATGTTGATGTTCACAACGTTGGCCGCGCGGGCAGAGTTCTCCTCAACGTTGTTGTCAACAGTGCGCAGGTTGTTCGCGCTGACGGCAAGAACAAAAAGAGTGGCGTTCTTCACGATTCTCATGATGTGCTAGGCGAGTTCGATTTTTCTCAAAAAAGCGTGATTGTCGCTAGGGAAGTGCTTTTCGTGGTGGCACAAAGGAATCTGGAGAAATTCGACAAACAGTAAAAGTGACGGGACTTTCAGAAAACTCGAAAAACCTGTCACAGCTCGACCTTGCTCGCCGCGCCGAAACGGCTAATCTGCGGAACCAGGCGCGAAACGAACTCGTCCATCTCGCGGCTGAAGAAGTGCGTTGAGATGCTCGACCTCGCACTCAAGTCAGAGTTTGACGCGATGTCCTGCAAAATAGCTGAGCGCTTCTCTGCGCTCATCAACTCCTGCCCGTTCAAGAAAGCACCGATCAAGCCTGCAGCCAGGCGCCCGCGCTTCAGCACCACCGCGACGTCGAACACCAATGTCAGCACATTCACCTCCTGTAGCGAAGCGAGCGGAATAGTTAGGTACAGCTCACTCGCGGTAACCGCCACGCCGAAGCAGGCAGTAGCCGTGTGCACATTCGGCTTATCGCGACAAACGCGGTCGAAACTGCGATTCGCGCTAAAGCATTCCTGCAACGAGACAATTTGCAGCGCTACAGATTCAGCGTTGCACAAGTAAATATAGCTAATGCCGATGAAGTCATCGACGCCGTTCAGCTCGTCCTGCAGCTCCACAAACACAGTGCGCAGCCGCTCGTTTAACACCAAAATGAGGTTCAGCAATATGTCGACAAATCCCATCGAGATCTGGTACTCGAAAGCGAAGTAATTGTTGATGTCTCCCGACTGTGGATGCTCGCCGCTCGGCATCGTGGTGTCCACTTTGCCATCCGCTTTGCCGTCCGGTTTTTCGTCCGTCTTGGCGTCCGTCATGAAGTCGCGCGCATCCGCGTTCCTCAGCGCATCGGCAGCCAACATGAAAATCTTATCGAGCGCCTCGGTGACCGACGCCTCGTCAATCTTCATGTCACCCAACCCTAGACTCAAAAATTGCTTGCTCGACGTAATGCACAGCCGAACTCGCCACTTCGGAAGATGCGCCATCACAAGATCCAAATATTTCAAACTGCTGAGATGATCCGTCGTGATGCTCTCGCGCAGCTGAATTACGTCGTAGTACTGGTCATCCGCTTCGGGAGTTAGCCACGCACGACTGTCGATCAGTGCCATCGGGTTGCTCATCGTCATGCAAGATTTCGTCGTGAAATCAACGTCCAACACGGCGTCCTGCGTGTTGATCTTCAACGCGACAGGGTTCCAAGAGCGCACGATGTTGCAGTGGTCTTGGTAAGTGTTTAAGTTGTACAGCAACGCCTTCACGCGCTCGTAGCGCTGATGGTGCAGCTGTAGCAAGTGCTTCTCTTTCGCAATGCACTCGTTGACGTGCGCAATCTCCTTGTCTGCAGACTCAACACTCGCCAGCAGCAGTTTCTCGCGGCTCAACAGTTCGCCGTAGATCGATTCCATGCACTCGTTCAAGTCCCTGCAGGTAGCCTCCAGTGCGTCCAAGCTGCTGAAGCGCATGCGTTCGTGCTCAAAGTTCGACTCAATGCTCGCGAACTCAGCATCAAGTCGCGTCAAGTCTTCCGAAATATGAATCAGACTCTGGATGATTGCCTTGACGTGGTAGCAAGTCAGGTCGATCACGTCACTTGAAAGCTGCGACTGAAAGTTTGTCTTCCAATTGCTGCAGGCAATCGCATCTGTACACTGCAGCTTAATTTCGACTAGCTGCATGAATTCCTCGCCCGCTACGTGTTGCAGCTTTTCAATGTGTTTGATGAAGTATTCATAGTCGAAGGACTGTGAGATCTTGTTAAGTTTAGCAGAGTACTGTGCGCAACGCTTCTCAAACAGTTTCCACGCGGAATAGTACGAAAGCTGCTCCGTTACGAATTTCAGATTAGACATGGCGACCAGGTCTTCGACAGCCACACTGTAGTCTGCGTCAGGCACCGGGTTTAGCATTGTGTCGTGCGCCAGCTCTGCAGCGGTTTGGTTGCACTTCTTTGCGAGTGAGTTCAACGACAAACGGTCCAGAACGCTTGCGAGCTCGGCAGCTAGCGGCAGCGTTGACACGTCCGAAAAGGAGTTGCCCGCAGCCCTGTGCGACTTGATCGAAGTCCAATCTTTCAAGTCAGTCTTCGGCGAATTAACGTCTCGGTTTCTGGTCGCATAAGCCAGCAGCGTGTCATGATTGGCTACTTCGCGGCGGCTCGGATTCTCTGCGCTGGAAACTCCATCGAAACACACCCGTCGCGTCTCCAAGCCCGACAGCGTAAGATCTCGCTCAACTGAATCGAACGGTTGAGGCCCCGGCCTTCTGCGGTTAGCAGAAAAAGGCTCGCGCGCGCTTTTCTCTGCGCCCTCGGTTCGCACAGCGCTGCTCTTCCCGGAGCGCGGATCTGCCGAACCTTCTGCGCGCTGCAAAGGCGGGTCCGCATTCAGCGAGCTGCCGAGCCGTTCGTCGAAGCTGCGCTCACTCGAGACAAGCTCATCGCCAGAATCGCTAATCGGCTGCAGCGCGACGCGTTTCAGCAACTCACCGTCTTCCGGCGCGTCGGGCAAGTAAGCTTCGTACGATATATTCAGCAACTGATCGAGCCCTACGTTAACAAAACCGTCCGAAGTGGTCGCCTCGCCAGCCGCAGCGGGACTTCGGCCCTCACGGTTGTGGCTTCGCGCGTCTTTTTCCCCGCTTGACGTGCCAGACAACGGACTGCGTAAAGCGACATTCGGCGAAACAGGTAGTACTGCCGCGCGCGAGGGAGAACTGACTGCAAAGCGATCGCCTAGCGAGTGCGCCTCTGTTAGGTCTGCCGGCGCTCGCGAGTCTGCGAATTCCGGAAACACTGCAGCATTTGCCTCAACCTCATCATTCATGCCGCAAACTAAAGCGAATTACTCGCCAACGCTTTTGCTCATACGGAATTTGTTCGCGCATAAATTCTAGATTATATCGCGCAATAATTGCGCCACGTGGCGCGCTGGCACTTTGCGACCACGGTCCGCTGTGCAGCGTGCAGCGTGCAGCGTCGAGCTCCGGGCCACTGAAGCAGCTGCAGTTGCAGCTCCAGCTTGGCAGCAGCTGTGTGCTTGTCGATTTCTGCATTTTATATTATTGGAATGGCGCGAGGGCCTTTTTGACCGCATGAGGTCTTGATGCGCGCTTAGCGGATCTCCATGCAATTCACTGTTCTACGTCCGCTGAGCAATCTCGCGCTAGCTTTGCAGGTTCTCCCCAACTGCGCTGAGCCTTCCGTTCGCGGCGGCGAGGTTCGGCTATTCATGCTCTTCTGCTCCGGGCAGATGGAGACTTCTGCCTGCCGGACCATCGTGTTTGGGCGGCGCAAAGGCGATGACGTTTGTCTCAGCGACCAGAGCATCAGCGGATCGCACCTAAGTCTCAGCGTTACAGTCGAGGCGCAGCTTGGTCTCGAGCAGGCGGCGCTGATCCCCGCGGGCGTCACGCTCTCAGTGACGTGCTCTGCAGTCGACAGCTCTTCCAACGGCACATGGGCCGGCTCCAAGCGACTGGAGGCGCACAAGTCATTGACCCTGCAGCTCGCCGTCCTCGAGCCTAACCAGCGCGCGCTCGCGCTGGCCCCTGCTCAGAGCGTGGCCGCTGGCTCACCCTGCGAGCCGCTGGCTTTTACCAAACCGCTAGATCCTTGCTCGAACCTTTTCGCCTTTGTGCTTTACCTCGTGCCTGTGCACAGCGACCTTGCCGCTGCCGACTTGCGAACTGCGCTGCTACCGCGCTTCCTCTACAGCTGTGCGCTTGAGAACGTCTCAGTGCATGCTGCGAGCCGCTCAAATCCGCGTTGCCGCAAAAGTATTGGCGATGCTGACCGTGAAAGCGTGAGCGCACTGCTTATGCTCGAACGCGAAGCCGCCGAGCTGCGCATCCAGCTGAAGTCTAAGGACGCTGCTGTACTGCGGCTTACCACCGCGCTAGCCGAGCAAGAGTCGCTCAAGCAGCAAGCGGAGCTGAAGCTCTCGGAGATTTCCGCTGAGAGGAACAAGACGCTGGCCGCCGCACAGCGGCTAGAGACGCAGCTGCTAGATGCGCGCGCGCTCTGCGAAAACGAAAAGCGCATCAATGACCAGCTGCTGCAACAACTGCAGCTCGCCGAAGGCAAGTGCAAAGCCCATGCTGCAGTCAACGAAGCGCTTTACGCAAAGGTCAGCGCACTCGCTGGCTGCGTTCGGCAGCACTTCGCAGACCTTGACCAGCAGTGCCAGCAGCTCGAAACGTTCGCACACCTCAGCCTTGACGAGCGCAACTTCGAGCGCCTCGCAGACGAGAACAGCGGCTGCGCGAATCGGCGCAAGACGCTGCAAGCGGCGCGCTACAGCAGCGCGCACTCTGTTAACAAGAAACAGCGCACCGAGCGCGACGACACGTTCGCGATGCTCAAAGAACTCGACAACTTCGAGACGTGCTGACCGTTTCGTCAGTCGCGCGCTACCTCCGCAGCTCTGAACAGCTGCTCATTTTTGCATACATGGCCGAACCGGCTGTCCGGAAACAAATGATGTGTACGCATTCTCTAGTCTAGCTAAAAGGAGCAACTAACCAGCAAAGCTGCTGATCGGCGGCTCACTCGTCCAGTCCATCGCGACCTCCTTCAAGTCGGACTGCAGCACAGCCAAGTCCTCGCGCGCTTCGGAGAACTCGCCCTCCTCCATGCCTTCGCCAACGTACCAGTGCACAAACGCGCGCTTGCTGAACATTAGGTCGAATTTGTGGTCAATGCGCGAAAACACATCTGCCATACCAGTGGAGTTTGAGCAGGAGCAAAGTGCACGCGAGACCTTTGCGAGGTCGCCGCCGGGCACATGCGTCGGGGGCATGTAATTCAGCCCGGCCTTGAAGCCCGTCGGACACCAGGGCACGAACTTCACTTGCTTCGAAGCCTTCAGCTGACTGATTGCCGCGTTGGTGTCTTTCGGCACTACGTCGCCGCGGTATAGCAAACACATCGCAATGTAGTACCCATGCTTTGGGTCGAACTTGGCGAAGTGGTTCTCTGGCCGAATCACGTCCTTCGTCAGGTTCTGCACCGTGTTCGCTTCGGAGCGACAGAGGTTCGGCGTCAGTAGTGGCGCGTACGAGGACATGCAAAAATGAATTCGCGGGAACGGGACCAAATTGGTTTGGAACTCGGTGATGTCGACGTTCAGCGCTCCGTCGAAGCGCAGCGAGACCGTAAAAGAGCTCATCACCTGCGAGATCAGACGGTTCAAGTTGTGGTAGCTAGGGTGCTCGACGTCCAGCTGGTTGCAGCAGATGTCGTAGATCGCTTCGTTGTCCATCAAAAAGGACACGTCCGTGTAATCGATCAGCGAGTGCGTGCACAGCACCGCGTTGTACGGCTCGACGACCGAGGTGGAGATCTGTGGCGCGGGCCAAGTGCAGACGTTCAGCTTCGACTTTTTCGTGTACTCCATCGCCAAGCGCTCCAAAATCAAACAGCCGAGCCCGGACCCGGTGCCACCGCCCACAGCGTGGTACAGCAGAAACGCCTGCAACCCGCCGCACTCCTCTGTCAGCTTGCGAATGCGGTCCATGCAGTCTTCGATCGCATCTTTCCCAACGGTGTAGTGCCCGCGCGCGAAGTTGTTTGCTGCGTCCTCCTTGCCGCTCATCAACTTGTCCGGGTGGAACAAGTTGCGATACGCGCCGTTACGGACTTCATCGATCACGCTCGGCTCCAGATCGCAAAACAGCGCGCGCGGCACCAGCCGGTTCTCGCAAGTCTCGCTGAAGAACGTCGAGTGCGCGTCGTCCTCGAACACCTCGCTCTGTCCGCCAGAGTCAACCGTGCCGTCCGGCAGAATGCCGTGTTCAAGGCAGAAGAGCTCCCAGGTCGCGCCGCCCAGTTGAACGCCACACTGGCCCAGGTGGATCGAAACGATTTCCCGCATTTCGATTTGTTCGAAATTACGCTTAAGCGAGAAGTGAACTTTTATTTATTCAATTTCTGCGTGCACACATCGATTTACAAATTAAGCACCTTGAATATTTTTTCAGCTGCGGACTCGGGCGCCGCGTCCGCGTCCTCTGAGCTGGACTGCGGTTCCGGCAGCACGAGGTCGTCCTTCTCGAGCGTCGCTTCGCGAATGAAGTTGCATATTTCCATGTTCGTTTTTGCATACAACTACCTCGAGCGCGCCGCCACTTACTGCCTGCCTTGTCCTGGCTTCCTGCTTTTTGCGGATGAGGATTGCGAGCCCCGCTTCGGCTTCGAAGGCCCAGAGGCTCGCGTAGAACTGGTGTCGGTCGAAAAGATACTGGTAGTAAAAAACCCACTCGAGCGTGCGTCGATCGAAGTCGCTGTGGTAGACAATGTTCTGAATCGCCGTGAGCAGCGTTCGCATGTGCAGAGGCACTTTCTCGAGTGTGTGCAGCGCTTCCTGCAGCGAGATCTGCTGAAAGTAGGCCTCCCACTCTGCGACGACTTCAGCGCTCGTGACGCCGCCCTCTACCACGCCAGCGACAATGCGCCGCGAAGCGTCCAGCGTCTGCGTCAGCGTCTTCATCCAAGCGCCAAGCTCCCCGATCCGCTCCTTAATCTTGTTCGCGCGCTCCGCCGCCGCTTCCGCGGCATTCTTGCGGAAGATCGAGAGCATGTCCTCGATCTGCTCGTTCGAGAGGCTGCTGTAGTCTTGGCTGACGTAGTCGTCCGCCGCCTCGCTCATGCTACTACCTCAACTGACGCGGCAGTTTAGCTGCTCCAGACACAGCGCAACTTACTGAAGGGTGCGGACAAGTAAGTCAGCTTTTTTCTCTGCTCTAAATAGCGCGCATCCCCACGTACCGTCCGCGCTGTACTCCTGTGGTCTCACAACGATGCGCAGCTCGTCAGTCAGCCCGCCGAACTGTGTTAGACTCTCAAGCGTAACGTCCGCGAGACTCTGGTAGGCGCACGCAAAGCCTATGCCGCAAGAAATTGCGATCAGTTTCATTGAAACTCAAAAAACTATATTTAAAAAGCGCGCGGCGCTGCCGCTGACAGGAGCGCTCATTGGCGCTCTCTGAGGAACCGCGCTCTGCAGCAAAACGCACTGCAGCGCTGACCGGGCGACAGGTGGTGAGGGCACACCGCAGTATGCACCAAAGCAGTCTCCGATACAGATGCTGTCGCAACACGGTTGGCGCACCACAGTTTCCGCAACACAAAGCGCGCAGGGCGGTCGGCGCGCTGCGCCACACTGCACGAGGCAATGTAGTTTCTGTTCCCGCGCCGCTTAATGCACGCTCTACGAACACGTCGGCAGGTGTCCGCAACAAAGATGCGGGCTGGGCTTCTTGAGTTCAGCCGTTTCCTCTGCCCGTTTCTTATCTTTGCAACGCGCCATACAAATTCGGTGCTTCACGACCAGGAAGTAGTAAATCAGCAAGTGCGAGACGATGTCCACGGCAAGGTGCATCAGCATATCCCGGAAGGTATGCGAACACGAGAATCTGCGCGCTTGCTGCACGGGAGGCGCTTGGTACGAAACAGCCGACTGGCCACAGCACGTCTTAACACAATGCGCGCACGGCGCACTCGCGGGCGTCTCGAGAGACTGCGCCTCCTGCTGCACGTCACACGGCGTCGCGAGACAACTCAGAGCAACAAGCGCTTCGCAACACACCTGCTTCGACGCTTTTCCGCGGAGAGATTCGCGCGAAAAATATACTTTCATACCAATGTAACGTGCAACACGTTATTAAAAAATTGTATTCAAAACGAAATTAAACATCGCCGGAGACCCAACAATCCTGCTGCACCATCGTCAAACTCATTGCGCACAGTCTGGATAGCAGAGCTAGATTGTTCTACATACGGTCGATTCATTACTCGTCGCTCTCCTCAAAAAGGTCGCGCTATTCTGGGGACGCACGCACGTCTTGCTGCGCTGAGAGCGAATAGTCCGTCTCTACAAGCTCTGGTCGCATGCGTCGCGTCTCCACGCTGCTGATTTCAGCCGCATCTATGAGCGCGCACTCGACTATTCTGCATGGACTACCAGGAGCGTACCTGGCCTGCAAATCATGATACAGTTCGCGTTCCACCTCAACGGGATGCACCTCGTGCTTCACGTAGTGCGCCGGCTCTATGTTTTTATACGACAAAGTCAACGCGCCATCCTTGATTTTGTGTACCGGCGTGAACCCCGCGGGCGTGTTGGGTCCCAAGTACGCAACCGCAGCGAGGTTGTTGCACCGTCCAGTATAGTTCCCAGCGCTAAATATTGTCCATAGCAGCTTCTCGTCTCCAAAACTCTCGCAACCATTCTGGACGACTTCGTGCGCACGCAAGATCATCTCGACGCCCAGCATCTCGCAGCATCGCTTTAGCGCATCCTGGTTGAACACCTGCGAAATATTGCGCGGACTTTTATTCCACTCTATAACCGAATCGTGTGGGTCAGCCCACAGCAAGTCTGCCTGCAGCGTGCCATCCTCGGCTTTGTCCATCTTTTCCATTCTGCGCAACTGGTTTATCGAGGTCAGCTTTTCACTGATGCCGCCGTGCATACACAGCACGCAGTCGTCCAGCAGAGCTGTCAGTGACATTTTTTTGTACTGGTTACTGAAGGAGTTGAGAATGCTGCGAGCATGTTTGTCGTCGTACTTCGTGTACAGCTCCTCAGAGAAATTGTAGTCCTTGTTAACGAGGATGTCTTCGTGATTGCCGCGGATCATGTAGACAGAGTCCGGCATTAGCAGCTTCAGCAAGCTGATCAGCGCAAACGTCTCGGTGCCCATCTGAGTGCGGTCAACGTAATCGCCCAAGAACAAAAACTTGCGGTTTTTGTTCGGCCAACCCACTTCGCGGAATATTTCCAACAAGTCTGCGAGTTGTCCGTGCAGATCGCCGACAATGTACAGCGGCGTGGAGAGTTCAAGCAGTGTCGGATCCTTGGAAAACGACTTATCAACATCATCAAGCAGAAGTTCCAGATCTAAGCGTGAAATGAGCGGCGTGCGCGTGTCGGTCTTCAGAGTGTACTTTCCAAGCGCGTGCAAAACGCGATACGCCATACTATTGTGGTCCAAATTCTTCAGTATGGCGAAAAGTTCGCTAGTGTACCGGTACTGCCTTTTGTTGCGTTCCGAGAGGTTCCGAACGGCATCCTCGTCAACGCTTGTCCGAGATTCATCTGTGTTTGCTCCTAGTGGGCATTCATCAAACGACGATTTTGTAATTAGCGGCATCTCGTTTTCGGACCTCGACAATGGCGGCTCCGTCGGAAGCGCGCGTCTCTCCAGCTTCTCGGGCTTCGGCGGCACCAGCGGCTTCGTCTGAGTCGCACTATCCCGCAAGACAGGAGCCACGTTCTGCATGTCAGGGAGTTTATCCAAATCATCGGTCAAAGCTCGTTCAGCCTCGTACACCATCCTCAGCGCATTCGAGAGTTCATCTTCCGCTTTCTCATATTTCGCCTTCTCTTGCGCTTCGGTAATTTCCTGCAACACAGGGCTCCGCTGCGCCTCAGCTCCTTGTCCAGCATTGTGTGTCACATCCGGTTCACTCAATAGCCACTTAGTACGACGATTGCGTCTATTTCTAGCTTCTTCGATCAACTCCTCCTTCAAAGTTGCCGTGGTGCTCCTCTCAGCGTCAAATTTTTCGCTGCGGCTCTTGCAGTAAGCAATAATATCTTTCCGTACGGCTTCGCGCGCTCTCATGTCCTTCGGTTCCGCTTCTAACGGTGCGATTTTTGCCAGATTCTTCATCAACGGATTATTTGTAGTGCGAGACAGACCAGAAGACGAATCAGACTCAAGCGGTTTCACGCCATAACGCTTCGTTAGAAGCGAGTTAGACCTAGACAATTCAGGCTGTGAGACATCAGCATCAACTTGCAGCAGTTTTGGGCTTGTTTGCGACACGCTCATCGTACGCATTCGCTGTTCGGCTGCATTCGCTCTTGCCGTCGCAAACGGCGCCCACCGGTAGTTGTCCTTCGCACGGCTCGCATCGCTCGACTGTACACACTGAGGATGTGCGATAGCGTCCTGCGGTTGACAAGAAAACTCGTTTGACTGGTCAGAAGCGACGCCGACCGTGGCGTTTGATGTGACAACACTGGGATCGTTAACTGGGTGAGCATCCAATGGGCTTTCATCATCTATGTGACGAAGAGATTCAGCAGTTGCTAAACATTCCTCGAACCCTCGTTGTCCATTCAAACACTCAGTTTGCCTCGGGAGCCGTTCAAGAGCAGTGTCGATCGTTTTAGGGTCTGCTCCCCGATTCGGATTGTAGCACGGAGGCTGCAAATCCGACAAACCGCGCGTTTTCTTAAGCGTACTAACACGCACCGGGGGTGTCGGCGGTTTACGCACTTGAGGACAAGGTTGATCGCTCTGCAGACCTTCCGGAACGGAAGCACCGTCTGGTATCTGTTCAACCGAGACGCCGTTAGCATCCGCCGAGTTCAGTCCATTAGAGTTCTTCGGCGATTCACTTATACAAGTGTCAGGTACAGTACAAACTTTCTCTTTGTCCGGAATATCAGTTGACGACGAAACATGCAACTCTCCATCAGAAAGCCGTTGCTCCTGGTCACCCTTGGCTGTGCGTACACGATTCACCACAGCGTACACGGGTTCTTCGCATTTCTCATCCAAACGTGAACATTCAGTGTCGCCTGGGACCACAGTCGCGCCTGCAGCATCTATTGTCCCCGCCACAACCTGCTTATCAGCTCCAGCGATTTTTGGATCTCGTTTCTTCTTTCTCAGGCTCGGACTCCGTGTGAAACTCCGATCTTTTCGTATCAACACTCTGCGCTCGGCCAGGTCGTCACACCTACCTGTGTCAGCCACATTATCACTAACTATTCTAGTTTCCCATCTACCCGCCCTAGTCGAATTTCCATTCACAGGTGCCGTTTTTTTAGGTCGATGTATCATCGATAAAGTCCGTCGAAACACGTTCGGCGCTTGCTTCGCATTCGACGCCGAACCACTACTGTTAGTACTGAACTCAGCATCCTTTGAACCGGCCATTTTGCGTATCCAACCCTGCGGCTTTGACTGAATCGATTTGCGCGAATCATTTAACCGTCGGAATTGATCCGACACAGCATGCCGAAAACGAGACACGCTCGACTCAGAGCTATCCGTCGTTCCACTGCGCTTCGAAGAAGCAAATCTACTCAAAAGAGCATCGAGGTTTGCTGCCACCACAGTAGTGACCACGGCCACACCCGACGCTTCATCGTATTCATAAGCAGAGATGTCAGCTCGGCGCATCGCGACTTCCGCTTAAGTTGCAAAATTATTACAGAAAATTTGCGAGACACATAAAAAACAAGATGTTAGTCTCGCTAACAAATCATTTTTTGCCCAGCTTTTTGCGTTCCATTGGCATCAGCACGCGGAACGAACACATCAAACTCTCGTCGATTATCATCATTGCCCCGGCATTATTGAACTCGCCGCAGTAATTCGGCGCGCTGAACAGTGTAACTAACTGGCGGTCTGCAAAAAACTCGTAGCCGTCCTCAACCACCTGGTGCGCGCGACAAATGAGATCCAAGTCGTGCGCCTTCAAAAACTTCTGCACAACGTCGGCGCCGAAAGTGTAAGAGACGCCGCGGTCGTTCTCGCCCCAGCCCTTCATCAGCTTCTCCGGGTCGCTCCACAGCAGGTCGCACAGCAGTCCCGAGTCCGGCACCGTTGCGGGCCGCTTGATGCGCCGGATCTGGTCCATGTGGTCCAATTCCGGGCTCAGCCCACCGTGCATGCAAAAAATCTTGTCGTCGATAATCGCCGCCACTGGGAAGCAGTTAAAGCAGTCCGTGAACGCGCGCCAAATTGGCACGTTATAGCGCCGCTTGCACTCGTCGTAAAAGCCGTAGATGCGGTTGATGCTAGCGCACTCATGATTGCCACGCAGCAAAAAGAAATTCTCCGGATATTTGATTTTGTACGCCAGCAGCAAACAGATCGACTCGATCGACTGCTTGCCGCGATCGACGTAGTCACCCAGAAACAGGTAGTTCGAGTCGGGCGGAAAGGCGCCGTACTCGAACAACCGAAGCAAGTCGTAGTACTGCCCGTGAATGTCGCCGCAGATCTTAATGGGAGCTTCTAGCTCCAACAGCACCGGCTGCGACATCATCACGTCGCGGCCTTTGCGGCAGAGCGCCAAAATCTCGGCCTCGGCCAATTTGATCTGCGTGTTGACGCGCTGCTTTCGCGCTTCAAGCAGCTTGTTAATGATTACATCGACTTCGAAAGATTCCATGCGCGTCAATCAGCCCCAAGTCGATCTGCGTACAGTCTCATCCGCAGATAATATTTAATCAGAAATAATTAAGGTACGAGCGGCAATTACATTTTGCAACCCGTCTTCGTGCATGTCTGTCAAACAACCGGCTGCACATTCACGCGCCTAACCCCCCACGCACAAATTTTTTCGCTCGACGCTGGCGCGCTGACGTGCAGCCGCTCGCGCTGCTCCGCCTTCGCCGCGGCGACCTCGCATTTGTCAACCCGCAGGCGCGGTTGTTCGAGCTCGCGATTGTAGTAAACTAGCTCGGCGGCAAAGTAGAGCAGTCCCAAAGCGAGCAGAGCGTAGTACGAGCCGCGCACAGCGATTGCGACCGGCTCGTCGCGCAGCACGCGCTCCGCGACGTCCAATGCGCCAGCGCTCGCGACCCTGCGATCAATGCGCGAGAGCGCTGCATACTGCAGCAGCGTGCAAACGGTGAGCACAGCCTGTGCGCCGAGAACACTCAAGGGTCGCCCGAGACCTAGTTTCAGCGCTGGCGCGCAGTTGCACGCGAAGTAGAGCAGCACGAACATCTGGTTCAGCATCGCAATACGCGATAAACTCGGAGTCAGCACACATGAGAGATCCGAGTCTAGCATCTTCAGCACGCTCAAAAACTTGGAGCTTCCCGTCGTGCGCGACAAAAGTGAGTCCAACCGCGCCACCGCTAGGCCTGTGGCCTCGTCGAACGCGGGACCGAAAAACAACTCTCCGCGGAACTGCAGCATCTTGACTTCGAGCCTAGCAACGCAGCATTGCAACTTACAGATAGTACACGTCACTCTCGAGCGCCAAGACGACGTGCGTGAACGGCTTACTCAGCAAAAGCACCACGCTGGCGCCGACGAAAGCCAATCGCACAAACGGAAAGGCGCGCACCACCTGTTCAGGCAACGCGAGGAACCTCATTTTGCAGCAGTCGCGAAACTTCTCGCAAACTAAGCCGCCTCTCAGGGTTTATCTGCAGCAGCGAAACGACAATGAAATTTAATTCTTTCGAGTACACCTCAGGGAGCAGTTGCCCATTTTGGGTGTGAATTATTTGCTGCAACGCACTAAAGTCTGCCGCGAGCGCGCTCAACATGCGTTTGGTCTTCAGCGTCACCGTTAAAGGTACATGATGTCGCAGCGCAGTCCCCACAGTCACCGCAGACAAATTGTCGTAATAGCCGTCGCACACCAGCGAACTGCAGTCCGCGGAGTGCAGCCGCGGAAACGCGTGCTCATTGCGGCAAAGCTCGAAGATGATGCAACCAAGCGACCAGCAGTCCGCCGCCCCTGTCACGCTCTTCCGCGCGCACATCTCCGGGCTCATGTACACCGGCGTAGACTTCGGTACGCGCGAGGGCGACACGTAGCCGCGCGGCGCCTCGCGCGCCAAGCCGAGGTCGCCCACTTTCAAGTTCATGTCTCGGTCCAAAAATAAGTTGCTAGTCTTCAAGTCGCAGTGCAGGATGTTAGCAGCGCGCAGCGCGAGCAGCCCTTCGCAAATCTGCGAAACCCAACGCCGGATCAGCGACTCGTCTAGCTGCGAGTTGCGCGTATCGCGCAGAAAGGCGAACAGGTCGCCGTTTTCGCAGAATTCCATGATGATCACGCAGTGCTCTTCATCTTGGAAGGAGTCTACGTAGTGTACAACGTTCGGGTGCGAAACTTTCTTTAACACCTGCAGCTCGATTAAATAACTTTGCAGTGTTAGCGGGTCGTTCGCGTCTAGCCGCAACACCTTCGCGACGTAAGTTGCGCCATGCTTGCGAACCAGGTGCAGCTCCGAAGAGCTGCCCTGGTTCAGGTAGCCGACGTAGGCGTAGCCGAACTTTGCAAAATCGAGCGGCGGGCCCGACAAGCACGACAGCTGAGTCAGCTCTACGCGAAGCCGGCGATTCGCTGCGCCAACCGGCTGCGCCACACTGGGAAACAACGTGGACGTCTTTTCAGCCGCAGCAAGCTCCGCGAACTCATCGTGCCACGCTACCTGGCAAGAGAGGGCCGGCGTGCTCGAGGTGCGACGCAGCTCCGTTGCGCGCGGCCTATATCCGCGCGGCGCCTCGGGAACAAGGTGATGGCGGTGCAGGCGAAATAGCTGCGACATGCGCGCGGAAGTAAGTTTCAAACGCCAATCAGAGCGTGCGGCTGGCATCCGTCCCAGCATCTGCTCACTGCATTTGTACATAGACCAACTATGCGTTCATGAAAAGCGTTTACTCACAGCGCAAATTTTTCAACGGTTAACAAACACTTCAAGTTTCCCCGCGGCTGCGCAAGCGCGCGCTGCGCCGCACGCTATGCGGATTGCAGCGGCGCCACTAGCTTCTTGAAACCGCGCAGTTGCTTCGCGCTGAGCTCGAGCTTGGTGAGCGCGGCCTTGCTGTTCGGCGATTGCATCAGTGAAGTAACCAGCTGGCCAATTTGCGCGTCACATAGATCCGAACTGAGGTTCGACTTGTAAATTTCCAGGGCGCAAAGATACAGCGCTCTGCAGACCGGCGAGTTGGGACTAACGCAGCAGAGCTGCGTGATGAACGGGTCGTGGCTAACCAACTTGCAGAAGAATTCTTCGTGCACGCGCGCCGCCTCGCCCGGCTCGAAGTGCAGCGGCAGCAGCGGCAACACGCGGCCGTAGATGTCCGCCTTGTCGTTCGCAACCATGTGGCCGTAGTGCAGCAGCACGTTTATCAGGCCGGCGATGGCGTTCTCAGCGACCGGGCCCTGTTCGCTGTCCTCGCGCTCCATGCAGTCGAGCACCTTCAAAAAACACTCGACGCAGCGCGTGATCGTCGGCGCGTCGAGCTCGGGCAGAGTCGGGATCAGGCTGACAATGTAGACAGTGGTGCGCGCCAATTTGCAGTTTGGCGAGCACACGTAGCTGAAAGCGACCTGGATCAGGTGCGGGCAGGTCTTTAACACAAACTGCGAGAGGTTCAGCAGCATGTCACTGGTGATGTACAGCGCAAGCAAAATGTCGGCTTCATCTTCGCTCTGCAGCAGCTTCTCTACGTAACTGATGACGCTGGCGTAATCCGCGGTCATGAACGCGGCCTTGTTGTTCTTCATGATCTTTTCGGGAATAAACCAGCACTGTTCGCGCAAGATACGCTGCTGCGTGATGTCCTCGTCGAGGAAGTCCAAATAGTCTTCATCGAGGTCTTTATCCATCTTGGAAGTCGCGATGCGGTTGGTGGCGCGCTGGCTATAGTCGCAAATTTTGAACACGAAGGCGAGGAACTCGTTTATTTGTTCCGCAGTAAGCACGTCGCAGCCGGCCTTGCCGATGCAATGCTTGACCGCCTCGAGGTCGTTGATTACATTATCCGCGACGAACCAGGGTTTCTCCATGTCTTTGCAGACTTCGCGCAAGACGGTCGAGGTGCTGTGGACCAGGTACTTATTGATTTGCGACTTCGGGACGTCCGCAGCGACCATACAGCTGAGCAGTTCGGTTACGATCAGCAGAGCGCCCCGGCGGACGCCGGCGCCGCCGCTGAAGTCTAGAAGCGCGAGCGCCGGCTGCAGTGTACGCTCGGCCAGCGGAATGTAATTGCGGCCGCAAGCGTCGACGATAGCGGCGACCAGCTGCAGCCTCGAAAGCACGGCTTCTGCTGCGTCGGAGTTGCCGGTGACTTCCGCGTCGTCCTGGGTTTGTACCTCATCGGGCATCTGCGGAACCACATCAGCCTTGACCTTCTCGAGCGTCAAGTCGGCGAGCAGCGGTTCGACGAAGCGCTGCGCGTACTCGAAGAAACTCTCGCCCATCGACTTCGCCATGCGCCGAACCGCTTCGAACGTGTAGTCGCGGATCTTCGCGTCTTCCAGCGAAGACGAGTTGAACACGTTGACCAGGATGTTGCAAATGTCGCTAAAGTGCGGCTTCATCACCTCGGCGCCCGAGCAGTAGGACACAATAGTCAAGAATTCGAGTGCACGGCTGCAAAGTGTCTGCGTCTCCGGCTTGTTTGTGCGCGCAGCGAACTCCTTCATCAAGCTGATCACCTGCGGGAAACGCGCGACGAACTGGTCGTCGAGCACGGCGGAGATCACCGAAAGAGCCGTAATGCACTGCTCGCGCACGACGTAGATGATTTGCTGGATTTCACGCACGCTGCTTTCCGGCGGCGTGTTAGGCGCGAACGAGTCGCTGAGCTTCGCGAACAAGCACTGCACCACGCCGTCGACGTACGGAAACAAGTCTTCAACTTCTACGTCTTCCGCATAGTTGATAAACGCGGCGATTGCCTGCGCCTGGTTGCGCGGGACTTCGTCGTTGAACGCAGCAATAACCTTTGGCAGCACGATGGAGTGGTACAGCAGCTGCGCGTCCGGCTTGTGGTCCAAACCCACCTGCGCGATCGCGTGCAGCGCGGCGAAGCGCACGCGGTAGTGCGCGTGCTCTACGTGGTCCAGCAGCAACGCGACCACGTCCTTCAAGTGCGTCGCGACCATGTTCTCCGGCAAGAACTCAATAGTCTGGCAGATGGTCAGCAGACCCGAAGTCTTGAGCTTCCAAGAGTCGTGCTGCATCACCTGCGCGACCTTCTCGAAGACGATGGGCATCAATGTTTTACCGGCGATGTTGCACGCGAGACTGTCAAGCGCGTACTCAGCATTCTCCGCAATGCCGTCGTCCGGGTCGCTGGCCTCGAGCGACAAGAAGTGCCACGCGTTGTCCTCCTCCGTTTCGGTCATGCAAAGGATCAACGTCTCCACGAAGCGCGACAAGAAGTGTTTGTTCTGCGACGTGTACTTGCGTCGCCGCACCACGAACGCCAGCAAGAAGTCGATCGTCGCGATGCGACCCGGAGTCGGGAAGTCCTGTTGCGCGGCAATCCCGAGCAGCAGGTCTAGAATTGCCTGCGTGCTCTCTTGCAAATACTTTGGACGCACTTCGATGAGCGTCGTGAACCCGCTGAGCGCCTCTTCGTAGTCCGTGCTGTCATCCGACTGGTGCGCGTCCTGCGCCAAGTAGCTCAGAATGT